CACCCCCACCCCCTGCCCCAGCTCACATTGGTGGTCTTCTTGTAGTAGTCAAGATTGTGCACGTCACGGGCCAGGCCAAAGTCTGCGATCTTCATCACGTTGTCCTCGGTCACCAGCACGTTGCGAGCTGCCAGGTCCCTGTGGATGCACTGGGGGACAGGCCCAAGGCTGAGGCCGACCCCCGCTGCTGCCCCCTCTGCTCCCCGCTCAGACCCCTGCAGGCCAGGCCCCTGCGGCCCGAGCCAGTGCAGCACCCTCTCCTCCCACCTACTCACCTTCTGCGAGGCCAGGTACTCCATGCCCCGTGCCACCTGGTAGGCGCAGGACACCAGGTCCTTGAAGGTGAGCTGCTCCTCAGGCAGCTTGCAGGTGTCAAAGGAGTAGTCCATGCCCGGAGGGCGCCTGGCCCGCAAGTACTCCCGCAGGTTGCCCTTGGCCGCGTACTCCACCAGCACATACAGGGGTCCTGCGGGTACAGGCGCCTCAGGGGGACCGCTCCTCACCCCCGCCGTGCCCCACCCCCCGGCGGGCACAGGCACCTCGGAGGGACCACCTCCCAACCCCGCCGCCCCCCACACCCTGGCGGGCCAAGGTGCCTACCGCCCTGCGTGCAGGCGCCCAAGAGGTTGATGATGTTTTTGTGCTTTCCGATCATTTTCATCATCTCCATCTCCGACACCAGGTCCGAGAGGTCCTTGTCCGTGGCGTCGTCTGCGTGGAGAGGGCGGCGCGTCATTCAGCACAGCCCCCAGCCAGGCCCAGCCCGGCTCCCCGTGCCACCTGCCTCCATCACCTTTCAACATCTTCACGGCCACGGTGACGGGCTTGGTGGCCCGGTCCTTGTCAATGCCAATGGCCTCTGCCATGACCACTTGGCCGAAGCAGCCCTCCCCGAGAGGCTTGCCCAGGGTCAGCCTGGCGGTGAAAGCAGAGAGGCAATGAGTACTCCCGCCACTCAGCCTGGTCCCAGGCAGCCTTGGGGGCCCAGTGCCACCACCTCTAGGAAGCCCTCCATACTTGCTCCCACAAGCCTGCACGTGAGGATGAAGGGTGCTGCCCCACTGGCCTCTGACCCTCTGCCATGCCCTCTGATGGAGCACTTTGAGCAGGTGGCTTCTCACCCACTACCCCCACCTCAGGAGCACCTGTCCGAGGCCCCAGCCTCACAGCCCCAACAGTCGCCTTGATTGCTACCTGGCTCCCAAATGAATCCAATCAGGTCTCTGAGGTGCCCCCGCCACCTCCTCAGGATCCCACCCTGTATGTGCCCCTGCCCCCCCGCCAGGTCAGGGCCCTAGCCCCGGCACACCACGTCCCATCTCCACCACTGACCGGGCCCGAGGCAGCTCCCACTTGGGGTCAGCGGGCAGCTCAAGCTCAGAGACGTTGGCCAGCGCGGGGCCCTCCCCCGAGGACAGCCGGGCAATTCGCACCAGCGGCGTGTTGGAGTTCATGGACGAGTTGGACTCCAAGGACACCTGCTTGGGTCGGCAGGGGCAGGTTGGTGCCGTGGGATCATACAGTGGGGCGTGGGTGGGGGTGGGGATGCAGCCAGCGGACAGTGAGGCTGAGGCTGTGTCTGTGTGGGCGGGGCTGGGTGGGGCTGAGTGCTGGGCCTAGGAGGGGGGATCTGACCTCTAAAGTAACCCGGGCTCCATGCTGTGACCACGACAGGGGAGGAGTCGGCCCACCCACAGCAGGGACACGTGTCCCGGGCAGGCCCTACGCCTCATACAGCAGGGTGTCTGAGCTCAAAGCCCAGAAGGGTGGGGTCGTGGGGTCGTGGGGGGTCCAGGAGGCTAGGGGCAGGTGGACAGGCAGCTCGGAACCTGGTATCTACTTTCTGTTACCTGTCGTTTGAGCGGGAAGCGGGAGACCTTGTGCACAGTGGGCGAGCCCAGGCCCTTCTTGGGTGGGCTGCGCAGGCGGCAGAGCGTCACAGCAGCCACCACCAGGATGAAGAGGAGGAAGCCCACCCCGTAGCTGAGGACGCCTGCGTACACGCTGCCAGCCTCACCAGCCTCCACCAGCTCCTCCTCAGCTGCAAAGACATGGGCATTGGGGGCCTGGCCCAGCCGCACGGGAGCCCCACGGGCTGCCCTGGGCTGGAGCCACAGGCAGCAGGGGCGGGGACGGGGGCTCAGCGCCCTGGGGGGGTGCTGAGGCCTCAACGCCCCACTTGGTGATAGTCCTGTGGTCAGAAATGCCCAAGGCAGGCCCAGGAGAGGAGCCCAGCAGAGCCAGCAGCACCCACGCCCACCAGCCAGGGAGACGCCAAAGCCCCCGCATAGGCTGCTGCGGCCCGGCTGGAAGTGGGGGGCTCGAGGGAGGCCCTTTTGGGCCACGACAGGGCCAAGTTGACTCTGCTCCCATATCAGGCACAGGGCCTGGCATGAAGGGTCCATGCAGCACGGCGGCTATGAGCCTCAGGGTCCTTGCCCATCTCTAGCGGCTTTGGCGTGTCCCCAGCCAGAACCCAGAGAGGACAGACGCAGAGCAAGCAGCAGCAGGAGCCAATACCTGGCAGCACCACCAGCCACGCAGAGTGATGGGAAAACCCGATAGAATTGCCCGCCAGACACGTGTACTCCCCAGCGTCCTCAAAGGTGACATTGCGCAAGGACAGAACCTCTAGCTCCTTGTCGGTGGTGTTAGCGCCCGCCGTCTACAAAGAGAGAACAGAGCACGATAGGCGAGCGCCAGCACCTCCCACGGGCACCAGAGCCAGAGTCCACACGGCGACGATCGAGCCAGGCTGCAAAGAAAACGCCGCCACCAACACCGCCACGACCACGGCGGCTGCGGTCCTGCGCCTCGTGCGTCCACACCGAGCCCGAAGCCAGTCCCTCCACCACGGCGAGTCCTCTGTCCCAGGTGAGTGCCAGGCGTGCGACCAGCAGCGTGCTGCACAGGGGCAGCGTGCAGGGGTTACTGCCAACACTGGGGCGGGCAGGCAGGCAGGCGATAGGCGACAGACAGGAAGTGAGCAGGTAGCAGAGACGGGGGCAAGGGGTGGGGGGGGGGTGCAGGTGCCACACAGGGCATGGCCTGGCGGGCAGAGGGCCTTCTGGGGGTGGCGCGGGATGCAGGTAGGTCAGCACAGGCCACGGGGCCCGAAGCGGGCGGTCACAGTGGAGGCCAGAGGCGCCAGCATTGCAGAGGCGACCACGTACAGAGCGGAGCACGAGCTGCAGGGAGGGGAGCGAGCAGGACGGGGCGTGCAGGACGGCGCGTGGCCAGGGCGTCGGAGCTGGAGCTCGGCGTGCCAGGCAGGCGTGGGACAGAGTTGTTACCTGCTTGGGGCCCGTGAACACGCAGCCAAAAGGCCTTCTCAGACACGCCTATGAAATTGGAGGCTCGACAGAGGTACTCGCCCCCGTCGCGCTCGGACACATTGGCCAGGCGGAGGCGCGCGTCGGCCTCCGCACTCTCACTGATCCAGGACTGCGGGGACAAGAGACCCGGCTCAGGCATGCCCGTGGCAGCCCCGCCGGGCACAGAGTGGCTACGCAGAAGTGTCCCCAGTCCAGACCCCGCCACGAGGGCGGCCCTAGATCCCAAGGCTCCAAGGCAGGAAGTGGGAGACCCCCAAGGAATGAATGGTGCTATGCCAGCCAGGAAGGCCGCCTGGAGGAGGCGTGCAGGCACCTCACAGCAGCGGGCGGTGGTCCCTCAGGACGCGCCTTGTCTGCATCCACCCTCCACAACCCAGAGCATGGCCCTGGCAGGCAACCCCGAGAGGCCCTCCCAGGCTGGCGCTCGGCCCGCCCACCCGAGTCCCGGCTGGACCTGCTGTGACACTGCTGGCTGAGAGCACCCATGCGGCCCAGGGTACAGAGGCACCACCCGACTGGGCCCTGGCGGCCCCTCCAGGTTGGGTCTGGCCTCCTGCTCCCCATCCCCGTCGGCCCGCCTTGTCTCTAAACAGATGTTTCTCTTTGGGCTGCGAGTGTCGCAACCATCCCAACTTGGGTGGCCCCCACCCTGGGGCCGTGGGAACAAAGCTGAGGCTGTCCTGTCCTGAGGCCGAGGGAGGCAGGCGGGATGGCGCGCCACTCCACACACACCCACAACGCCCAGGCCCCCAGACCAAGGGTGCTGGGCGGGCTCAGCGGCCACCTGCCTGGCTGAGGGCCCTTGAGTTTGGACCCACCCCAGGGGGCCATCTGCAAGCCCTTCCTCAGGGCAGAGGCCAGCCCTGAGAGCAGACAGGGAGACTGAGGACTGACTGCAGGGCCTGGTGAGCCAAGCCCCCCACGGCTTCCCCACAGGCCCAACCCCTGGCCGTGACCACCGTCCCTTTAACCCAAAGGGCCTCCCTGCTGGGGGCGCCCTCCCTGTCCCCACTCCTGCGCAGGAGCCCCTGGGCCAGCTGGGGACAGTGCCCACCTTGAGCACGGTGACGTAGGGTGTGCCGTCAGGCCCCACTTTGCTGCCGTTCACCTCTACATGCTTGAGCCACTGGATGTGGGGCTGTGCGTCGCTATACACCTTGCAATGGAACTCCACGTCGCTGCCCAGCACTGCTGTTTGGTTGGCTGGCAGCCCTGCCTGCAGGATGGGCCGGTGTGGAGAGCGCTCTGGGGAGAGACGGGGGCTTAGGGGTCACCCCGGCGCTCGCCTGCCTGCCTGCCCCCCGCCCATGTGCCCCGGGCCTCACCCAGCACGTCCAGGGTGTACGTCTGCCGGATGCTGCCAAACTTGTTCTCCACGACGCATGTGTAGTTGCCACGGTCTGAGGGCACCACGCTCTCCATGACCAGGCTCCACTGCTGGTGCCGCAGCTGCAGGGGGCACTGGGTGAGCAGGCAGCACGAGCCCAGCCAGAGCCCAGCGGCCCGGCGCCCCCCCACCAGGCCCACCTTGATGCCCCCGATGCGGTGCTCGCCCCGGAATTCCTTGCCATTCTTCAGCCAGGAGATAGACGGGGTGGGGTTGCCGGCAGCCGGGCAGCGGAAGCGAACGGTGTTGGCAGCTGGCACAGCCAGCAGCTTCTTGTCCATCCGCTCAGGCCGTGTCCAGTAAGGGGCCCCTGCTGGCAAGAGGCACGTGAAGGCCACTGCCCACCCCTTCAGCCTGTTTCCCCTCTGTAGGGAGTGGTGGCCTTTCAAGGTCCCCTGCCTGGGCTGGGCAAGGCTCCCAGCAGCCTGGATACCACCTTCCAGCATTCTCAAAGCCAGCCCACATGTCCCCTCTCCTTCCTGTCCACTTCCCCCAAGTGTCCACTCCAGCTAACGGTCCAGCGTGTTACACACGGGTCCGGAGCCTTCAGGACAAATAGTGTCTCCCAGGGGAGCACTATCCTTCCAGGAGACCCAGCTGGCACAGGGGCCGGGTCAGCCCAGGTCACAAAGTCCAGCTGGATGGACGGGCAAGGCCAGGTCTTGGGGGCAGTTTACCATGAGGCCAGGCTCAGCCACGCGCAGAACCAGGAGCCTTGGGGCTGGCCTGGTGCCCGCTAGAATCTGCAAGACCCTGCCTGAGCTACCCTCTGCAGTGTTCCAGGGCCCGTGGGTGGGGACAGGCTGACGTGGTGACGTGACAGCAAGGAGGCCCCGCCCCTCCATCCAGGTTTCAGGCCGCCCCGCCCCCACCTTCGGAGCCCAACTGGTTTTTCTCCTTCTCTGGGCTGGGGTGGGGGCTGTGTTCCTGCTGTGGGGAGGCGTCCCCCAGGGGGAGGCAGCCCTCTCGCCGCATCACTGTCCCTGAAGCCACCTCACAGAGGGCGCTGAGGCCCAGACAGGGAGCAGTGTGCACAAACGCTGGGGAGAGGTGCCTCTCAGGCCTCCGGGGTCAAGGACAGAAACTCAAGGGCCACCTAGGGCCCAGCGGGCTGTGGCAAGGGCTGTCCCGAGGACGGAGACTGCAATGACTCATGCCGCTGGAGCCGCTGGAGGGTGCCTCCGTGTCCCTGAGCCCACAGACACCTGTCCGAGATGGCCTGGGAGGGCAGGCACACCAAGAGGTTGGCAGAGGGAGTGAAAGGTAGCAACCAGGCAGGGTCAGGCTGTGACCTTCCTGGCAGCCGAAGGGAAGAGGCACTGTGGGGCAGCTCCTTGGGCAGGGCCTCTCCTGCCCCCTCCTGCAGCCCATCCCCCAGGCGGAGGCCACAGGAGCACAACACCCCGCTCTCCCAAGACCCCCTTCTCCGGGTTTTCACTCCCCTCTCTCTTCCTGGACAAGTCCTCCTCACATCCTCAATGGCTAGACCACAGACGGCCCCCTGGGGTTCTGTGCACAAGGGCCCCTAGCCCCCCATCTCTTGGCATCAAACTCAGCTCCTCCAAAACCAGAGAGGTGCCTCGTTTCCCCTAACGGGCCCTTCCACAACTGGGAGAAGTCCACCTGCCACCGTCCCAGGCCAAAACACCTGGTGCTGTCACCCCAACTGCTCTCACGCCCACAGCCTGCCACCAGTAACACTGGTGGCACCCCGTTTATAATAGATGTGCCCAAACCTGGCATCCCTGACACCCCATAGCCACCCTCCTCTCCTACCTGAGCTGTCTTAGTCACCTCCCACTGACCCAAACTCCCAGTCCACTGGCCCCACGGCAGCCAGACCTGAGCCCCCTGCCCAGGTGTACTCACACCTAGGATGGCCCCCCGCCCCAACAGGCCTCACTTCCCCAGCCCGGGCACAGACTCCTTCCCACCCCACGTGAGGGGACCCCACACTTGTGACCAAGAGAGGTGGGCCCCAGGCCTGCCTCCCACCTGCCTGATGAGCAGGAGGACCCACACCTGGGAAGGGCAGGGCTTGTCGGGCGAGAAGCGGGTGCCTGCCCCTGCCAGCCCCGCGTGCCCGCAACCTGGTCTCACCTGTATCTTCTGCCTCGTCCTCCCCATCTTCATCATCTCCTGAGGATGGGGCATCTGCAATGAGAGGAGAGCAGGCGTGGGGGAGTGGGCCCGCGCCCGGCACCCACATCCAGGTGCCTGCCGCCCCTCAACTGTGAGGCAGCGTCCACGTCGGGTCTGTCTCTGGCCTGCCCAGGAGGGCGCAGGGAGCCTGGTCCTGAAGAGAGCCACTGGGGGTGCCCTCGTCTCTACCAGTAGCCACGCAGACCCTTGTTGCTCCGGGAACTCAGTGGGCACTGGCAGGCACTCACCTGTCACGCGCACACTGAAGTGGCACAGAACACGCTGGGTGAGCCGCTGCCGGCAGCTGTAGGCGCCGGCGTCCTCATGGGAGGCGTTGAGCACCTGTAGCCGCTGGGGCCCCACCAGGATGCGGGCCGAGGCCACCAGCCCTGCGCCGTCCTTCACCCAGACGGTGGGCCCCGTGGGACCCCCTGCAGGCGAGTGGCAGCTCAACTCCACGGTGTCCCCACTGCCAAAGACCAGCTGCTCCTGCTGTCCAGGCTCAGGTTCCAGGACCTCTGTGGGCGAGATGGGTGACTGTGAGGCAGGGGCCCCCAAACCAAGAACATGGTGCTCAACAACCCTGGAAGGCACCCCACTCTGCAGACACACGCTGATGGAGGCTGCTGCGTCTGGGGTCTAGGGCACCGAGGGCTGGACAGGGCCCAAGGTGACCCTGGATGAGGGGAGGATCTGCACCCAGAGCCTGCGGCCCTGCAAAGGGCTGGGGGTGTCACTTTCAGCCTGGCCCTCCCAGGCACCGTGCTGCCACTTCGGCGCTCTCGTACATGACAGACAGACAGATGAGCATGGCTGCACGCCAATGAAACTTTATTTATGGACACTGAAAGTTCAATCTCAAGTGTCATGAAGTATTATTCTTTAATTGATTTTCTTCGACCACTGAGAAATTCAAAACCCATTCTGCATTTGGGATTGGGGGCCTGGAACCCCCATTTTACAGATGAAGACACAGGCTTGGGTGAGAAGCCAAGGCCCACCTCACCCTACAGGTGTTGAGCGGTTGGGGTGGAGGGTCCGTGCCAAGGGCGCACACCCACCAGTGGCCCCCAGGGACCCCAATCTTGCCACTGGCTGCCCAGCTTCCAAGGGACCAACAAGGCCTGAGACCCAGGGTCACACTACTGGTGGGACTGACCACCACCCCCGTCCTCCCTGCCAGGGCCAGACAATGCCCAACGCAGGCGGGCAGCCCGGGCTTAGGGCCCAGGACAGGGGTGGGTGGTCCCGCTGTGCAGGCCTCCCTCCCCAGACCCAGCTGGGTCTGCTGCACTGTTATTTGTCATTCTGCCGATGCATGGCCTAGATTCTAGGGCCCAGCTGCCCACTCTGGCCACACCAGTGCCTGGCTCCCTGGACAGACCCAATTCTGCCCGCCCACCTCAGGCATCCCCATCAGCCCCGTGCCCACCAGAAGGGTCTCCAGAGTGTCCAAGGTCTGGGGACCCCACAGTCCGCGGGCAACTGGCCTGACCTCCAGCCCCCCAGTCCTGGCCACCACATCCTGTGGGGACCACCCAGTGCCGGAAGCCGACTGAGGCCCCCCAGAAGGCGGAGAACAGGCAGTGTGGCAGCCTGAGCCCCAGGCCCCAGCCCAAGGGCAACAGCAGTTGGTTCCGGTCTGGTCTGGTCTGGGCAGCAACTGCAGGTGAAGCCATCTGCATAAGTATTTGCTTCAACCTAGTCCAGCAGGGGGCTGGGGGGGACACAGAGCAGCCCCCAGGCCAGCCAGGTCTGGCAGGCATCTGCCAGGGTGAGAATAGGGGCCGATCCCTGCCCTGCCCACTACCCTGCCCTGCTAGGTGCCTGCAGAGGCCAGGGACCCCTAGACCAAGACAGACACCAGGAGCAGAATCTCCGCCCCTGCCGATCCCATCCACCAGGCCCCCCCCCTGAGCCACAGGGAGCCCTGAGGGGACCCAGCAGCAGCTGAGTGGATGGTGTCAGGCAGGGGACATGGAGCCAGCATGAGGAAATGCTAAGACGGCCAGGGTCTTGGGCCGGCCAAGTGATTCAGTTGGTTAAGAATTGGCTTAAGAGTGCGAGCTCTGAGCAACGGGGCCACCGGTTCGATTCCCACATGGGCCAGTGATGCTGTGCCTGAGTTGAGCTGCCGCCGAGCTGCCAACAAGTGGCAGGATGGCTCAGCTGGTGTAACAAGACTGCTTGTTCGATGGTGGGCTACACCCACCCGCAACTAAGACTGAACTCGGCACCTTGAGCTAAGCTACCACCCAGATGGCTCAGTGGATAGAGCGTGCGCTCTTAACAACAAGGCTGCTGGTTCAACTCCCGCATGGGATGGTGGCTACGCCCACCCGCAACTAAGATTGAACACGGCACCTTGAGCTTAGAGGCCACGAGCTGCCGATGGGCAGCCAGCTAGATGGCGACTGGCGCCCTCCACAACGAAGATTGAAGAACAACAACTTGGCTGGTCCCCTTCCCCAATTCCCCAACACTGTTCCTCTCCCCCAGTTCCCCAATAAAATCTTTAAAAAA